AAAAAAAAGATAAACAAGATGCCAAGTCCATGCGCCATGTGAAAAAAAATAAAAAAATTTTAGTTAAAAAAACTGGGCGCGCTGCTAAATTTCAAAATTACAATGCACCTTAAAGTAACATTAATTAATTTAAACACAAAAAAAATATTTTAACTGTTAGAGTTTAAAAGTAACAATTAATTTTAATATTGTTAGAATATTATTTAGCAGCGCTCCCAGTTTTTTTAACTAAAATTTTTTTTCTTTTTCACATGGCGCATGGACTTGGCATCTTGTTTATCTTTTTTTTTAAAAGATAAGTTTTTTATGGTACGATTCTACATTTGCAAATTTAAATTTTTACTGATTCATTATACGACTCTATATATGTCTGCAACTTTAATTTTCCACTGGTACAAGTTTCTACTTTCACTTGGCGCAATTTTTTTTTTATTCATTACTTTTGTTACGATTGTACATGGGTTTATAATCGATAATTTTTCATACAATTCTATTGTACATGGGTTTGCAATGTAGGATCTACATAAGTTTGCAATGGATAATTTTTATACAATTCTACATGGGTTTGCAATGGTTAATTTTTCATAGGATTCTACATGAGTTTTTGCAATGGTTAATTTTTCATAGGATTCTACATAGGTTTGCAATGGGTACGATTCTACATGGGTTTGCAATGTTAATTTTGCCTAGGATTCTACATGGGTTTGCAATGATAATTTTTCATAGGATTCTACATGGGTTTGCAATAGGATAGGATTCTACATGGGTTTGCAATGGATAATTTTTGTTAATGGCGTGCCCTTAACTGGTCGCCTTTTTTTACCTTTTTTAAAGGTGAGTTTTTAGAGATTATATCATTCATTTGTATTTTTTATGACCGGAATAGAACAATATTAAACATGTTTATCTAAACTTCTTTGCTTAAAATGATGTGTACAATCATATCCTAGAATCCTGATCATTCCTCCTAAAGCACCCTATTTATATAAATTTACCCATATGTGTGTGTGGGTGTGTGTGTGTGTGTGTACTAATGTCGAGCATTTTTTATACATTTTCTATTAAATTTAGATAAAAGTTGCAGATTTCGAAAAAGAAAAAGTTGACACAGACTTTTTCCTAAACGGCGATTTTCAAGGTTATTTAAAGGTCACTTATATTTTCAAAATAGAATTACCTTAATTTTTCTCATATAAATCGATTCCTCGCAATATTTACTATAAAAAGTTGTAAAGGTATAATTTTTTAATCTTACATAAACTTCGAAATATTACAAATATTTTATTTTATGAAATATTTCAGTTTATGTAAAATTATGTTAACTATCTTTTAAATTATTCACTTTTAGCCATCTTACCCTTACAACCTTTTATAGTGAATATTGCAACAAATTGGTTTATATATATAATATATATATAACATCAGTTATTATTAATTGATGTTTACATTTATTTTTAGACTTACTAGAGCTCAAATGCTCCCACATTTTTTGCAAAAACTGTTTATTCTACAGATTTCAAATATGCTTTTAAATGATGATTGAATATTTCCTTTTTTTAATTATTTTTATTATTTTTTCAATCTCAATCAACTTTTATAACTTTATGCCAGCACGATACAAATACATGTGTCTTTATTTTTTTTATTATTTTCATTATTATTTTTCAATCTCAATCAACTTCTATAACCTTATGCCAGCAGGATACAAATACATGTATGTCTTTATTATTGTATCAACTCTTGTCTTTTCCATGTAACCATGTCTTCATAGTTTGAATTATCCCTTCATCTTCTCAATCTTTCGCAGAGATTTAATTAATTAAATACACTTCACACGAAATAAAGTTTGCTGGAAGATATACAGCAAACGATAACTGTAAAAACATGATTACGTGGAAAGAACAAGAGTTGGTACAGTAAAGGCAAGTAAGTAAGTACATGTAATGTATCGTATTGGCATAACGCTATATCCGCGGAGCAGATAATGTGGCTGTAGAGGTAGTCTGCAGTGCAGCTAATGTGGACGTAGATGTTGATTGAGATAATTGTCTAATATAAAATAGAATTTAAAAATTTAGTTTAAAAAGCTGTTGCATATATAAATAAAGTTTATTTTTTCTAAATTTGGAATATGTTTAATTAATTAATTTTTTAAGTCTATGTTTAATAAATTTTTTAAGTCTGTATTCAATAATTTTATTCATTTGATAAATACATGTATGTCTTTATTTTGATATGTTTAATATAATTAGAAATTCATTATTAATTAGATATGTAAACTATAAATTCATATATAATTTTGAAAAATATATGTGAATATTTAAATTTTTATCTTCTCCTTCCTCTCCTCAATCTCTTTAATATCAATATGTGTATGTGTGTACACGCGCGCACATTTGTACGTATTTATTTAATTATTGGATAGTTGAGAGTACTTAATTGATAAAAAATTATGACAATAATAATCCTTGTTTTTTTTTCTATTATTTACTCAGATTTTTTTGTCTATCTTATAAGATAAACACTTTAGAGATTGATATTTCAAGTAAACTAATTGTAAGTAAATTTCACATTAATGCATATAGATGTTTAATCATGAATGTACTAAATAAGTACACAAGACGAACAGTGAGTGAGTGAGTGAGAATGAGAGAGAGTGTGTGTGTGTGCGTGTGTGTGTGAGAAGAGAGAGAGAGAGAGAGAGAGAGAGAGAGAGAGAGAGAGAGAGCGGAGAGAGAGAGAGAGAGAGTTGAGAAAAAGAAGATACACCCCGCACGCTGCCGATCATGAATGTACTAAATAAGTACACAAGACGAACAGTGAGTGAGTGAGTGAGAATGAGAGAGTGACTCATGAGAGTGGGTGTGTGTGCGGCGTGCGTGTGTGAGAAAGCGAGAGACGAGAGAGAGATCGAGAGGAGAGAGAGAGAGGAGAGAAGAGATTTGAGAGAGGAGGAGATCGAGGAGAGAGAGAGAGTTAGCCAACATAACCCCGCCGCTGCCGATATGGCGGAGCGCCACTATCGCCATCTGTTTGTAAAACGTGCGAGATGGACAAAATTACCACTACATGCATCTTGCATGTGTTGTGTACGTGTGATATATGTGTGCGCATGTGTTGTATACGTGTGAATACGTGTAGCACGATACTACTATGTATGCGTGGTCGATGATGATAATGATGATAATGATGACGGGGACGTTTCTTAATAGAAATTTTTCATATTTCGACTTTGCATTTATATATCTCTGCTTACAAATCACGTAGAGCAGAAATAAAGACACTTTTATTATATAATTCGAACTCAATCTATCGATTAAGTCTAGTATAAACTCGATTGCTTCAGCCATTATTGAGGATTCGAAATATTATAAAGACTCAAATGTCCGACTCGCGTTAAGATACACGGTGTCTCCGCTACGCCCTTAACTGGTCGCGAGACACTACCGTGTCTCTTGAAAGACTCTTTCAAACTATGCATTCATTAGATTTAACCCAATACACAATTAAAATCATCATAGCCTTTAGAGATTAGATGTCCCACATCCTACATCGGTGCCATGCAAGTATAACGCCGGTGATTTATTCCCTATAATGCACGATGTTCTATGATCATTCCTACTGATATCATATTCTGCGTCTTTTAGTCCTGTATTTCTGCATATTGATTTAGCAAAATGCAGTTTAAAACTGTAAAATATAAAATCAAGTTTTTATTGATTTGTTCTTGTTTTCCTTTCCAACATGACTCTAATAACAAGATATTTTACAGCTGTTTAAATTATAATTTGTATATAATTGGACATCGTAAGTATAATCGAAAAAAGCTTCATAAAGATTATTTTTATTATTATGTTACTTTATATAGAATATATATGGCATATATGTATTAAAATATCTTACGTCTTACCATGCGAATTTCATAAGCATTTGACTCCAACTTGAATATTGCATTAGCCAAACCAACATTTCTTTGAAATTTATTTTTAAGTAGTTCCATACCTGATAAAAAGAATAAACATGAACAAAAACTAATTTGACTATACATATATATATATATATATATATATATATATAAAGCGTATTTTATAAACTTATGTCGAATTACCAGTATATTCATTAGTGTTAAATTAATAGAAATTAAATATTAGTAATTGACCAACCTTATTAACATACATCTTATAGAATTCATGAAAGTCTGACAATAATGGTGTGGGCCATGATAAATCATCCTGCCGTTCAACTAGCAAATATCGCACATTTTCTAATCCGTCATTAGTACTGTAAACAATATAAAATTATAATATAGTATACGTGTATGTATATAAGAGTAAGAATTCCGAATAATTCAAATAATTTTACGTATAATATTATACATACTATTTTGGTTTCCAAAATATATAATAAGGGCAATTATCTATTACATTGCAACGTAAACCAAGTCTTCTGGCCACGCTATGATATATTATTAATACGATTAAGCCATCGCCCGATTTTTTTCTTAAGACCTATACCAGAAATTACAACAAAAAAATTATTTACAGCAAAAGTATTTTGAATATATATAATGCGTCTATAACTCTCTTATTCGGGAATAGTCAAAATAAGATATCGAATAGTTTCTCTGAAAAACAAAGTTTGTAAATTTTTTTATTAATTCAAACTCAAAAGACTATTTACAACCCTCACCTGAAAAACAAAGAAACAACATTCAATGTTTCTTATTCACTGATTCTATTATAATAACACTTTGTCAAATTAAATTTTATTCACCGTATTTTCTCTCCACGTGGGTTTCTCTTTTCTAACCTCTATTAATTTTTCTTTGCACATCTAGATGCCCGTATTACCGACCGTTTTACCGGGAGATTTTAAATTAATCCGAGGAAATGTAATGGAATTTCCTTACATCTCCCCCCCTAAGAGAGAAAATATGTTTACAATTTTTTTTTTTTTTTTTTTTTTTTTTTTATGACGTGTACATGTCTTCTTCTGTGTAAGCGGACTCTGAGACTGGAAACAGTTTAGTGATATGAAATAAATTTGACTCTGTTTTCTTATGACCTGTGTCTACTTTATATATTGAGTGTGATATTTTTTGTAAGATTTTGTATGGTCCTATTTTTAACTCGTCTAATTTCTTTCTGTTTAAGCGGTTCCCGTTCTCGACATATACTGATTCTCCTACATTAAATTTGTAATCTCTTCGGTTTTTGTCAATTATCTTTTTATTATAAACGTGATATTTTATACTATTTTCTAAAGCAGTTTTCCTGTCTAGTTTTAGATCTTCGTTTGATCTTTCTTGTTTTAATTCGATTGGTAACATTGAGGTATCCGTGCCTTCTAATAGATATTTTGGGGTGAATTTAGTGACTGTGTGTTCTATTTCATTGTATTTTCTTACACATTCGTGTGCTATAGTTGTCCATGCTGCTTTCTTGTTCTTTTTCTCGTTTACTTTGCATCTAATTTTATTAACCAACGTTTGGTTCAATCTTTCATTCAGGCCATTGGAGAAAGGTGCGTTTACTGCCGTAAATATAATTGGGATATTTTTGTCGTCCAAAAATTTCTTAAAAACCTTGGAGTTTATTCCCGGATATTGATCCGTTAAGATCATACCGATGTCGTTGTTTTCCGTTACTTTTTTTATTAATTTTATAAAATCCGTGGAATTTTGGGTTTTGGATGTTAAAATATATCCAAATCTCGTGAAATGGTCTACCAAGAGATGTAAGTATTTTTTTGTGGATCGTGAGCCCCCGAAGCCGCCGATTGTGTCGATGGAAACTATTTCAAACGGTTCTTTTGCGGGACCTAATTGAGACATTAGGCCAAATTTCTTCTGTCCTCTTGATTTATTTTTTATGCAGATCTCACAGGCTCTACAAATTTCTTTTATATTCTTTGTTAAATTTTGTGCTGTGTAATAATTTCTGATTTTGTTTTGTGTTTGTTTTATACCTATATGGCAGAAATTCTGATGTGTTCTTCTTATTACTTCTTTACTGAATTTTTCTGATAGTATAATTTTTTCTTTTTCTTTGATCTTCTTATAGTATATTTTATTTTTCAGTTTTAGTCTATTTTTGTCAGTCTGTAAATCTTTGTTTTGTTTTTGATCTTTCAGAATTTCTTCTAGGTTTATTAAATTCACGATTTTTAAGTCTTCCTCTTGATTCTCATGTGCCTCCAGCACAGGGTTTCTACTTAAACAGTCTGCCTCCAAGTTATTCTTACCCGGGTGGTATATTATTTCCATATCATATTGTGCTAAGTAATACGTTAGATCGCCTAATTCTTCGTCTGGTCTTGCTTTGATGTTAAGTTTTTCTAGTGGTTTATGATCTGAAAAGACTTTGAATGATCTGCCCATGAGCCAGTGTTGCCAGTATTTTACTGCTTCTTTTATTCCTAGGCATTCTAGGTATATAGCCTTCTTTTTTTTTGGGCTTCGTTTAGCTTCTTCGAGAAATACGCCACCGGTTTTTCTATTTCTTTTCCTATTTCTTCATCCAGTTGTGGTTGTTTTAGTATAGCTCCTACACCTTTCAAGCATGCATCCGTGTAAATATGTATTGGTAGATCTGGATCGAAGATAGTTAAAACCGGTTGAGTGCAAAGAATGTTTTTTATTTTTTTAAAGGCTTCTTGGCAATCTTCCGACCAGACGAATCTTTGTCCTTTTCTTAATAGTTTGTGCAGTGGGTCCAGTATTATGGAATTATGTGGCACGTATTCATTGTAAAAGTTAATTTTTCCTAAGAACTGGCGAATGTGTTTTTGTGATTGTGGCACAGGAAAATTTTGTATTGATATTAGATTATCTTTTATTGGGGAGACTGAGTTATTTTTTATCTTGTGACCTAAGTACTTGACTGAATTTGATGCGAAAGTGCATTTAGAAAATTTCAATCTAAAGCCCTCCTTCATTATTGCGTCTAGCAATTGTGTTAAATGGTCAATATGTTCATCGAATGATTTTGAGAAAATCAAGATATCGTCTATGTAGTTTACTGTAAAGTTTGAGAGATTGTGTTTTCTCATTATGTTGTTCAGGATTCTTTGAAAAATAGCTGGCGACGTCTTTAGGCCAAATGGCAAGCAGGTCCACTGAAAGTGTCCTTCTTGGGTTATAAATCCTGTTTTTCTTCTATCTTCCACCCGTAGTGGGATTGACCAGAATGCCGAGTTTATGTCGAGTTTGGAAAAATATTTGCAGTTTCTTGTTTTTGTCACTAGGTCCTCAATCAATGGGAATGGTTGTGATTGAGGGATAATTATTTTGTTCAGATCTCTAAAGTCGATGCATAATCTTGATCTTCTATCTTCGTCCTTTTTATATGCTAGCGTCACTGGGGCAGCAAAAGGACTGTATGATTCTTCTATCAAGTTTCTTTTTAACAGCTCCGCAATTTGTTGTTCTATTTCTTTTTTATCTTTGATTGTACATCTATATGGTCTCTTGCTGCAATACTTATCTATCATTAAATCTATTCTTGCTTCATAATCTTTTACTGTGCCAATGTCGTATTTGTCCTTGGCAAATAATGTTTTGTATTTTTCTATAAGATTTTCTATTTTTAATTTTTCGTAGTGATCTAGGTGGTTTATTGAGATTTGTAAATTATCTGTATCTACATGTTCATTAAAGTTTATTTGTTGTAGCTTGTCATCTTGAAATTTACAAGCTTCTTTATGGTTTCTATCCTCTTTCTTTGGATTTTTGTTTGTGGTATTAAGAGCATTTGTATTTCTTTTGTCTGTTATGTCAGGAATTTTTTGTTCTATTTTTAAATTCTCATTCTGTATTAATCCAAATTTTTTTATACAATCCAGTCCGATTAGAAATTCATAATTGAAATTTTTGTTATTTATTACAAAAACGTCTATTTCTTTTTCTATATTAAGAATTTTTGCTTTTATTGTTATCATGCCTTCGGTTTGGTTCACACCATTAATCGTTCTTAAGTTTACTTTTCTTATATTGTTATTTTTATCTTTTCTTAGATTCAGTATTCTAGAGTTTATTAATGAAACATTCGAGCCTGAATCATATATCCCAGTTGCTTCCAATGTCTCATTTAGTAATATCTTGAGTTCGATCAATGGTGGAATTATTAGTTTTTTTGCTCATTGCAATTTAGTTCCATTTCTAGGACGGCGTTATTGACATTTTTTATTTTGTTTTCTTTATCTTTGAACCAACATGCTGATTCCGGGTGATAACGTGTGCCTTTGTTATTGTCTTTACAAATTTTACATGGTGTTTTTTCTTTTATGTTATCAGTCTTGTTCTTCTTGATTTCAAATCTGTTTTTATTAACCAGGTGTTCCAGTTTGCCTAGTTCGTTGTAAAGGTCTTCAGTTTCGTTCAGAGTTTCTCTGTCAATCCTATCAGATATAAAGTTTGGTAGACCGGCTGCGATGAGATCTATCAAAGTTCCTGTGTCTATTGATTTTCTTACTTCTAATAATAATTTTTCTTTTTTTATGGCATAATCCAACAGAGGACCTGATTGGAATTTGAATGAGAGTGCATATCTTATTGGGATCCACCCTTTGTTTGCAAATGTTTCACAAAAGTTTTTTTTCCATTCTTTCCATTCTGATTGTACTGTAAATTTTATCAGCATGCAGCTGTACCAATCTACACACGCTTTTTCTAGAAAAAATTTTAAAGTTTCGATCTTCTTTCTATCTTCATTTATCTCAAAACGTTCGCACTCTCTTTCAAATTCATTTATCCATTGGTGGGCATTGGAGGTTTTTCCAGTGAATTTTTCAAGCATAAAATCCTGTGCTATTTTTCCTAGATTTTTTATTTCGGATTTTTGTTGTTTCTCTTCCATTAATTTCTCCAATATTTTTCTCATTATTTCCTCTGAAGAACTAGGTTCAGATGCCGTAGTAGTTTTTTTCTCTGTGATTTCTTCTAAATAATAATCGCCAAATTGTAAGTTTTCTTCTTCATCCAAATACACTTTAGTTAAGGTTTCTGATAAACCAATCCATACTTTTCTTGATTGGTGTCTTTTTTTTAATGAATTCTTCACTTTAGCAAATATTTGTGTTTTTGTCAGCTCTGTGTGTAAATGTGCTGGCTGATATTCCTCTGGGAAGCCGAAAGAACGATCATCGGGTGTTCCTATTGAGGTTAAGCACAATATGTTCGATTTTCCGTCTGTTGATCCTCTTACCATAAAGTCGAATCTTAACTTCTCCATTTTGTATAAATTTTCAACAAGAATGTTGTTTTATAATGCGTCTATAACTCTCTTATTCGGGAATAGTCAAAATAAGATATCGAATAGTTTCTCTGAAAAACAAAGTTTGTAAATTTTTTTATTAATTCAAACTCAAAAGACTATTTACAACCCTCACCTGAAAAACAAAGAAACAACATTCAATGTTTCTTATTCACTGATTCTATTATAATAACACTTTGTCAAATTAAATTTTATTCACCGTATTTTCTCTCCACGTGGGTTTCTCTTTTCTAACCTCTATTAATTTTTCTTTGCACATCTAGATGCCCGTATTACCGACCGTTTTACCGGGAGATTTTAAATTAATCCGAGGAAATGTAATGGAATTTCCTTACATATATATTAACAGTTATGATACAACACATATGATCATGTTCATAATATAAAGAGATCGTAATTATAATATATTATTATCTATAATAACTTCTTAAATTCATAGCATCTTTTTAAACTTAAAAATATAAAAGATGTTACGTCGGAATTATACACTGTAATAAACTATATAGTATATAAAGAAGACTTTCTCGAACTATTAATTATCTGATGAATAGGAAACTTTGTAATTTATATTCTATTCTATTATATATATTTATATAAGAGTTTTAACAAGGCTCTGTAATATAAATATAAATTTAACGTATAAGACGGGCAACAAGAGCCA